AAAGCAGTGTGGGGGCCATAAACTATTTCAGTTAGAGGAGACAGGTCATGTAGAGAGAAGGAGGAGGAAGTGCCGCATATTTCTTAAGGAGGCGATCGGGCAGGACCTTGAGTGCTTCAGCACCAAACCAAGGCCTTAGCCTTCATTCGAAGGTCGCCTAGACTTGTGGGGGGAGGGAGAGGAGTGACATAAAGAAGGCTGTGTTTAAAGAAGGACATAAGCTTCCAGAGCTTCTGCCGATTAGCTTACACGGATGGCACCAGACGGGACAATCTGAGATGGGCCATTCCATTCCCAGCGACTGACATGCAGTGCACACAGGGCTTGTTGCTGAGACAATGGTAACTTTGTCAGGCAAAGCAGAAACTTGACCATTTATTCTACTTATTCCTGAAGAGAACAGGCTTTAAGATTAGAGGAACTTGGTTTGAAACTCAATTCTGCCTCTTTGGGCCTTGGTCTCTTGTCTGTGAAATGGGATAAAATGTACTTCACAGACCCACGGGGACAACTCAGTGAGATGATCCCCGAGAAGAGCCAGCTTGGGGCAGATGCTTTATGATGCTGACTTTCCTTTTCTTTTTTTTTAGCCACAAAATTTATTTGTTTTTTAAATTTAATCACTATTTTATTTTTTCTATTTCCATTTAGTCCCCTAATACCTCCCTCCCCCCAGCAATCATCACACCTGACTTTCCTTTTCTTCCTTGTCTCTTGAAGGTTTTTTCCTAGTATTTTTTAATGATTATAAATTCACAAGATGTTACAAAAATAGTACAGAGAGGTCCCTTTCATCTGGTTTCTGCCAACAGCCTCATCTTACATAACAAATCAAAACCAGGAACCTGACATGGTGCAAGCTATGGGCCTTACTCAGATTTCACCAGTTTACTCCGTGAGTGTGGGGCAGGGGTGAGGAAAGGGCGAGGTCGACGCAATTTCATCACATGTGTAGATTCTTGTCAATCAAGGTCCAGAATTATTCCATTGCCACAAAATCCTCCCTGCATTTAATACTCACACCAATTTTCCTCCTTCCCACCTCTAACCCCTGACAACCACTAATCTGTTCTTCATCTTTATAATTTTGTCCTTTCAAGATTGTTATATAATTGGAATCATGTAGTATGTCACCTTTGAGATTGTCTTTTCCCTAAAGAAACCTTTGGGCCTTTGAGATTCATCCAAGTCCTTGCACGTGTCAGTGGAGGGCCCTGTTTTACTGCTGAGTAGTAGTACTCCATGGTAGGGACAGAGCACTGTGTGTTTAGATCTTTTGCTGTTGTTTCCAATTTGGGGCTATTACAAATAGAACAGTGGTGTGCAAGTGTTTGTGTGAGTGTAAATTTTTATTTCTCTGGGATAAATTCCCAGGTGTATGATTACTGGACTGTGCCAAACTACTTTCCAGAGTGGCTGAATCGCTCCGCACCCCACCGGCAATGCATGAGAGAGTGGTTCCTCCACATCCTCACCAGCGTTTGGTGTTGTCACTACTCCCACTTTAGCCGTTTTAGTAGATGTGGAGTAATAATATCTCAGTGTGGTTTTAACCTGCATTTCCTAGTGGTTACTTAATAACTTCATAAAACTTAATAAACATTAAGTTTTGTGTCAGGTATGAGGTTTAGGCTGAGGTTCATGTTTTTAATCTACAGATCACCAACTGCTGCAGCTGCATTTGTCACAAAAACTGCTTTTGCTTCATTGCATTGTTTTCCGCTCTCGGCGGAAACCAGCCGGGCACACTCGCGCTGGCCCGCTTCTGTGTTCTCTGCTCCATACGCTGGCCTGCTTCCTCTCCACCAAGACCACGCTGGCTCGACCACTCTCTCCACAGCTGTGCGGCTGTGAGCACGCAGAACAGGGTTTATTCTTGTATTACTGGCTATTAGTTATTGTGTTATTTTCTACACAAACAACTGTAAACCTACTTTTTTGCCTAGCCCTGTATAGTAAGTTTTCACGTCAACTACAATAATTTCTCCCACTTTATTCTTCCAAACTGAGTGGATTTTAAGACAGTATTCCCCCTCAATTTCATTCTAGGATGAGACAAGCACAGGAAATTTCAACATAAATTGACTGATTTGGGGAATTCCTTTTTAGGAACCTGGAAAAATGTGTGTTTTTTCCACACACAAAAAAATGAATGAGCATATCCTCTCTTTTCTGTTTTTCTTATTACAGTAAAATATGCCTAACATAAATTTTACCATTTTAACCATTTTAAGTGTACAATTCAAGAGTGTTAAGTGCCTTCACATCGTCGGGCAGCCCTCTGTCTTCAGGACTTTTCATCACCCCCAGCCAAAACCCTGCCCATTAGCAGTGAGTCTCCACTCCCTCTCCCGCCAGCCCCTGGCAACCAATGTTCTCCTTTCTGTCTCTGTGAGTTTGACGATTCCTCGTGTAAGTGGAATCGCACAATATTTGCCTTTTTATGTCTGGCTTATTTCACTAAACAAATGTCTTCAAGTTCCACCCATGCTGTAGCTTCTGTCAGAATTTCATTTCTTTTTAAGACTTAATAATGTTCCCTTGTTATGTTTATACTGCATTTTGTTTACCGTTCACCAGTCAACAGACATTTGAGTTGTTTCTACTTTATGTCTACTGTGAGCAGTGTTGCTATGAACATGGGACCCTGCCCTAAGTTCTCTGGGGCAGGTACCTGGAAGTGGACTCCCTCTTACATCAGACTCTGGACTCACTTTTGTTAAGCCCCCGGGGGCCATCAGCAAGTGGGTCCATTGGGCCACTAGGGGGAGCTCCCCACCCTGGGATTTGGTGGGGTCTTTGACTTCAGTTGCAGCCTCTATCTAGTCTGGTGGAGGCAAGAAAGGAATTACTAAAGTGAAGGAAATAGCAACCCTTCCATGCTCCCAGGAGCCATTTCTCATGAGTTGACACGTCCACAGCCTGAGCAGACTTCAAGGTTCTTGTTCCCTGGAGTTCCAAGAACCACCTCAAAACTGCCTTATTAAAAGAAATGTGTCTCTGGCTGCAGGAGTGAGAGATTGAAGTAAGAATCAAAGAATTGCCCTTTCCTCAATTCTTAGGAAAATTGGTTTCCTGCCTCATTGTAAACTTGGACAGATTCCATATAAAAAGCATGTTATCTTCCAATATTTCTGTCAAGTTCTGCAGCCCAGCTCTTCCTCTCCATTATTTATGGAATTAGGGCCTGAGCCGACTTCCCGCCCCCGAGTAGCTGCAGGGAGGTAGAGTGCACGTGGGGAAAGGGGCAGCGAGTTTGGCCTGAGCAGCCACAGGGGTTCTCCTTTGGGTCTCTCCAGATGGGGTTTTCTAAACGGGTGTGAAGCCTGCCCTCGGCCCATTAGCTGCGAAATTGTGGGTGGGTGCCTTGACCTCACTGGGTCTCCATTTTCTCATGTGTAAGATGGGGTAATAATTGCGCCGACCCCATAGAGTTGTTATGAGGATTAAAATCCTTAACACATTGCAAGCACTCAGTTAGAATGGGTTATTATTATTACCACTGTCCTGCTGTTGCTGTAACACTTCTGGAAAAGTTAGTCCTGAATGGAATCAGGTGCCCTCCACATTCTTCCTTACAGTACATGTCAGTATAATACACACAAAAAACTAACATTTCCATAGTATGGCGAAACTGACAACGCACCCTCATTTAATAACCATGGACACTGAAATCCAAAAGCTTTTCCTGAGGGCCAGACTCCAGAATCTGCGCCACCAAAACAGTGGTTCTGATGCTGGATTCTGCTGGGGCAGGTGTTCCGTCAGCCTTGCCACAACCACCAATCCTGGGCGCCGGAGTCAGGGGTCCTGGGACACCCAGGGGGCCTGCTCAAGAGAAAGTAGAGAGGAGGAGGCGGCCAGGGCCGGGTTTGGAAGAAGCCGGACATCTCCTTCCTCTTATCCAGGTTGGGAAGAAGGGCCAGAGGAAGTCACTTCACCTCCTTACTGCTCTCTCTCAGCTGCCCTCTGGAGCACAGAAGTGGTCGAATGGGGAGTCTCAGAAACAGCCACAGAGTAAGTGGTCCCCAAGTGGTGCCCCTGTTGGAGCAGCCCTACCGATAGAGACTTAGTTGACAGAAAGGACAGCACACCCAGGATCCCATCCCTGGGATCCAAGTTTATACCTGTACCTTCAGCTGTTAAAATCATCCTTTATTGCTACTAGCTCCCAGTCTCTCTCTGGCCCCAGTGAGCCTGGAAATAGTTGCAGTGGGGGTTGGGGTGTGAGGGGGCCTGGGTGGGAGAGACACACCAAGCTCTTGGCAGCCTGGATCTGGAACCCACCCCTCAGCTGCAACGTCAACACCCTGGCCTCCTCCTGGCCTCCGACAAGAACAAAGCTGAGATTACACCCTTTGTTTCAAACAGGGGTGAAAGCTCAAACCCAGCCCCTCCAGCCCTGGGGGTCTGGGTCTGTGGTGAGGAAACCGCCCTGCACACCCACTGCCGCCCTTCCTCACACCCCCTCAAGACACATCTCAGCTCTAGATCCCCTCCTCCTGCTTCTGGCAGCTCATAGACAGCTGCTCCCCAGAGACAAACTTCTCTTCCTCAGCTCACCCTGGCCCAGCTGCTGGCCTGACTGCTTAATTCTTCTCCCTCGCCATAGGAACACAGGGAAGGCTCTCAGGCCAAGGCTTGGACCTAAATAAATACCTATGTGCTCGGTGTGTGGAACACGTGAGCATCCTCTGTCCGCCGAGGGGGCTGTCATCAGCCAGCACAGTCAGCAGGGTCATGCTGAGGGTTCTCTAAGTGCAAAAGAAGGTTTTAAAGTTCTGATTGGGATCAGGTTTATTCTGATCCTTTAATTGTTAAAAGAAAGGCATCTTTTTGTTTGTTTTTGTTTTTTACTTTTTCTTTTTGTTCAATCAACTTTTGATTATACTCAGACAAGTTCAATTTAACTGTTATCTTAAAAGTACACACACATCTTGACTTCTCTGGATTTTCTGGTTCCAATTTCTTGCTTTAATATCTTCAAACCACCTCAACGCTTTGGAGCCTTTTTTGGAAAACTTGCCCGAGGCACGGAGCTTCAATCCTGTGACTGCAGTTGAAGGCACCTCTAACACTGACACTCAGAACAGCCCCCAGGGAGGGAAAATCCTGAGGACTGCGTATAGGCTTGGATTACCTGGGCCCTCACTGTCAGTTTCTAGAGACCCTGTCGCTGACACTTTCTGCAAACCCAGATGGACATTGAAATTAAGGAAGCCGAGCAAGCAGCTCCTGGCCTCCTGCCACTGTCTGGGATGGACTAGCGCCTGAGTAGCGCCTCTTAGGGAGTGGACTGGAGGCAGGCAGCTGCCTGAGTGGTGAGATCTAAAGGCTGGGTCAGCTCCTATCAGCTTCCCCACAGACCCCAGGACCCCAAAATATCTTCTCCATTTAGATGCTGCAGTGCCTGGAATTCTACCACTGGAGGATCATCTGCAGTGGATCTGGTAGCTTTCCTGTTCCCAGAAATTCCTGCATACAATGCACCACAGATGGCAGCCCTGGAATGAAATGCAGGTGGAGATACAGGTGTGGTTAGCAGGCTACAAGAAAGGCAGAAAGAACATTAAAAGGGGAGGTAGGGGTGTAGGCCTAAAACAGACCAGCAGCCACAGGCATGGGGGTGAGGTCACCAGCCCTTTGCTGCCCTGGGCAGGCCAACTCTTACCCTGTTCTCTCCTTATCTCCCTTCCACCTTCTCGGGTTTGGGAGATGCACGTTGGAATCTCCAGTGGTTCTCACTACTGAGGCTGTGAAAACCAAAGGTATTTTTCTGTCCATTCTCCTCTAAGCATCGGAAGTGTTTAAGGCCCATGTTTGAATACTGAAAGGCAAGGAAATACCGAGTGTAATTGATCTTTTTGTTAATAATCACCTTCCTTATCTCACTGTCCTCCTGTGGCCAGTGCACGAAGTCTCCAGAAGGACCTCTTAGAAGGGAGGAGTGTCCGCATCTCATCACCGTGGCAGCCGATGGCTGTTCTCTGAGCCGCTGCTGGTGGGGTTCGTGCGGGGTGCTAGTTATGTGTCGGGACCCAGATGGTTGCATAATTATGCAGACTGAAAAATTCAGAGAACAAGGGAGGCTTTTGGGCTAAATGCTATAAATTTAGCTTCCTAAATGTTAACAATTTTGCATTCTCACTTTTCACTGTTTCACTCTTGTGGTACAAGCATTTTTTCCTCAAGCCAAACAAGTGCTTCAGATAGGAAACCGCCTAGCAAGCCTCCCTACTCACAGAGCGGAATTCATGAGTTTATAAATGCCTTTGATAATTACAGGTCAGGAGACAAACCATTACTTACCTTGAGATGTTTGGATTAGCTGCGGATTTCCTTTATCATCCTTATTAGTACCACTGAGCAAAAGCTAACTCTCCAACACAATGGCAAGGGCGGTATCCGGAACCCGGTTTCATGCAGCCTGAGCACGCCACATGGGGTCCTCGCAAAGGCCAAGCTAGGAAGGAACCAGGCCAGTGGGAAACCAGGCAGATTCTGGCTCTGTCACCCTTCCTCCCTCCCACCTCCATCACAGTATAGCGTGAGGGACTTCACTGGTACACGCTGTGGGGCTTCTGAGAAGGCCCTGGCATTCTGCTAGTTTGCATTGTACATTTGAGTGAGCATCTCTCCCCTCCTAGAAGGCTTGCTGTGACCTTGCGGCCGGGTCTCAAACAGGGCTGAGGATCAGAATCACCTGTGGGACCTTAACAGTCATGGACCACAATGGTTTATAGTTGGAAGACCCGAGGTGCACCCCAGGATTCTGCGTTTTTAACATTGCCTCCTGGGAGAGTCTGATAAAGCAGCAATTTACCCATCAGTGCCAAAGAGGTGGTTCATACTGGATGACCTTGAGATGCCCCTTGGTTATGTGGCCCCGGGGCGTCTCCCACATGAGCAAGTCAGTGCTCCTCAGGGAGGGCTTCTCACTGCAAACGCACCCTGCATGTTCCCCTCCTCTCTCCTGCTTTTCCTGTTGCCCCAACTATCCTAACCAACCAGCTCTGGAGAAGACAGGGGAAGGGGTGTCTCATGCTCTGGAATGTGAGCCCTCTCCGAGCTCCTGGCCTCTCTCCGCCCAGCCTTTTCCCACCCCTTTCTGACAGCAGGGATTTCTCACCCTCCTCACTTTTCTTCTCTCTGCTTTCAAAGCGTGTCCAGGGCTCCCTTATTGTGGAAAAAACATCACTTGATCACTTGACTCCTGGGCCCTTTCCCTTTCCTCGGGTCCCCCTCTCTCCTTAGCTAAACTTGTAGGGATTACCCACACCCCTTCGCCGTCCCTTCCCGCCGAGACCCCTGGCCGGCCAGCTTTTAGTGTTATTGGTCCGCTCACTGAAACTGCCTATCCAGCCACCCTGACCTCTAACCCCCTTCCAGTTCTCTATTTCTTGCTGTCAATGCTTGCATGCCCCCAGTGACACTCAAATGAAATGTATATGAAGTCAAATTCATTGCCTTCCACCCACACATCCATTTTCCTCAATTTCCTCCTCGACTCAATCACATATTCCTTTAGTGAGGACACTGAGGCCCAGAGAAGGAGGCGACCTACTCAAGGTCAAGAGCCCCTTGAGAAGAGGAGGCAGTGAGTCCAGGCCTCCAGCCTCGACCCTGAGTGCCATGAGCTGTGAGGGCTTCAGCACCATGGGGTGCAGACACGGCACCTGCCCCATGTTCCCATTCGTGCGCACCCTGGATCTCCAGGCACACAGAGCCCTTGAGGGTGGGGACCCTGTCTCGCTCCCTCCGAAATGTCCCTCAGCACAGAGTACGCAAAAGGACTTTAGTCAAAGTTGAGAAGGGCAAACAGGAGGGACATGGGGACATCAGAGATTCAAAAGGGAAAGCAGTGCCTTGTGTCGGTGACAACTCCAGACAGCACCTCATTTTTCAGCCAAGTGCCGGAGCAGCTTACTATCAGGCCCACACTTACCAGAACTACCCACTCTCTCTCTGTGGGACCTCAGCAGGTGGTGCTGTCGGGATGATGGACCCTCCTGGCAGCCAGCTGGGGCCCCTGGATTTGCCAGCACTCAACTGCTTCCATCTAGATATTTGTAAAGCTGCGACTCATTCAAGGAACTATTTTGGATTCTGCCTTCTCTTCGAAGAAAAAATGGGGTTAAAATCTGGGAGTTCAAGGACTGAGAGTAACATCAGACTGTCAAAATGGAGAACCAGGTCATGTCTATTTAATAATTATCATACATACCATTGCTAATATTTATTGAGTGCTCACTGTATGGAAGACACAGTTCTTGGTTTCTTTATCTGGATTGTCCTATTTAATTTTCACATTCCCATGAGGAAGGCGGTCTTACCACCACTGCCTTTCAAGATGAGGAAACTGAGCCTTAGGGAGATCAGTGTCTTGCCCACGATCTGTAAGGAAGCAAGTCTGGGTTCCCGGTGGGCTGGTCCAGAGCCACTTGCTCAGTGACCACGCTAGACCTCCTCCACGGAGGGTGGCAGCATCTCTTTGGGGGAGAATTGGTCAGAGGACAGCTTCCAGGGAGACAAGCAGAACTATTCTCACTTGATGGATCTCAATTAAGCTAAACATGTAAAAGCAGTTTATAATCTGGTAAGTTCTCTGCACGTCTCAGGTGTTAAGACTGCCAGTAGTTTAGCCCTTCTTCCGCCTTTGTACAGATTCCTTCAGCTGCTGCATTCCGGGCGCCAACAGTTCCCCTACAAGTCAGCTGCAGAGTCTCCTTCTTATCAACCCTGTGCTTTCAGCTCTTAGAATTGCCCTCATTCAGATGTTTCACATTGTCTCAGCTATTGGGAGTCTGTGGGAGTAATCCACGGACAGGGTTTGGACATTTGGGTCAGAATCTACCAGTTTTTGAAACCCTTGTTTTTAGAAAAACACCTAGATAACCAGCATGAAATGAACACTGAATAACACAGGCAACAGAGGTAAAGTGACTGTTGGGATAAAAGGTGATTTTTGAGGGATAAAAGGTTACTAGCTTTGCCTCTCCACCTCATCCTGGGCTTCAAAATTGCATCCAGCTGGTTCCTCCAGGAAGTAACCCCTTTGAAAAGGACCAGAGAAGCCATCTGGAGCAGAATGAAGGACTGTCCCGAAACAGGGCTGGTTTCCTCTGGCCACCAGCAGCAGCAGCAGGAACAGCAGGGCCACCCGAAGCTCTTCCTCGTAGTGTTGGGCTGGGAAAGGGAACAGTTACCCTAAAAATGCACAGCCCCAGGGTGGGAGGGCAGTGCTAGATGTACCTACCCCACAGGAAGGCCATAGAGAGCTCAGGCGATGGAGGAGGCTGGTTTCTCTGACTCTGGCAGGATCTTCATTAGGCATTTTGGCTTGGAAGAGACCTCTGAGTGTGGCTGGTGGCTGGGAAAGCATGACCAGAGAGGGGGAACAGTGTCTCCAAAAAATAGAACAGAAATCATCACAAATTTCCGTATTTCCAAATACGTGTTTTTCCTTTCTTTTGTTTCAGCCACAAATGCCAAGTCAGGATATGTTTTATTGAGGGGAGAAGGCGAGAGACCCCACCCAGCAATCACAGACAAAACATGGTGAGATCTCTCTCATTCCCGGCAGTGTTTGCCTCCAGGGGTGGCTGCAGACTCCCCAGCAGCTCAGTGACTCAAGCAGCAGGGCGCTCACCACTTCCCTTGGGAAGCTGGCCCAGGGCTCCTCATTCAAATGTTTTCCCAGCTGCTCAGCCACAAGCTCCTTTCCAGGGGGCACTGTAGTTTCCCTTCCTGGGCCACAGGTTTTGACTCATCTTGGATGGAGATGGTGGGAGGTGCAGGGCTACGTGTAGGATATTCAGCTGGGATTTCTGTCTTCTGTCACCTGCTCTCCCCCTAGGTTGTCAGCTGGAAACCAAGCAAAGTTGTTCCTTCTTGTGCTCATTCTAGGCCCCAAACAAGAAATTTGTTCCCCATCCCAACAGGCAAATTGTAACGGGGACTTTGTATCCCACCCCACCATTCTTTTGACATTGTTTCCCTAAGTGCAGAGTCTGACTAATATGTAGCTTGTAGATAAACAGCATGTTTGTATAAGAATCCTAGGAACTGACTTCAAAAGATACGGACCCTGACCTGCAGGCACCCCAGCTCCAGGAGATTTGCTGATTTTCAACCATGGATCCAGGATGAGGGAAAGTCGGGATGAAGTGAAGCCGGGATGACTAATCCAGGATGATGCACACCGGACCATCACTTGCCATATCAGTAAGCACTGTGCTCATCTGCACGTAGAGAACTTCACAACCCCCGCCCTTGATCTGTCTGTTCCCTTCTCCCTCCTTATGAAGACCTCTGCTTTCACCGAGAGGTAGAGATGGCCTTTGAGACATGAGTCCCCCATCTTCCAGATGGCTGGCATCTGCAAATAAACCACTTTACTTTACATCATCATCTGCCTCTCGAGAAGTGGCTTTTGTAGGCAGACCTGCTTTTGGCACCCACCCTACTGCTGCAGACGGGGAACTGGTCCCAGTCATCTTTGTGTGCTTGGGGCTCCACAAATGTGTGTGGAGTGAATGCCCAAATGCTCCCAGGTTGCATTCCAGAGAGACTGGGGCCTCCTGCACAAGGCCTTCCCTGAACCCCGCCCCCCTGCAAAGTCTCTGACCTCAGAGCCCAAACTTTATTCTGAGAAGAGGAAGTGAACATATTTTTAATTTGACAAAGTGGATTCAAAGATTTTATGCCTGTTTTAGACCAGCTAACTCCCTGTCCCATCTGTCCCCAGAGATAAAGCCTTGAACTAGTTCCCCCGGGTGAAAGCAGCCCCCACCCGACCCCGAGGCAATTATAGACCATCCATTTAAGGTTGCTGGACCAGGGCTCATAAACCCCATTCACTGTGAGGTGAGAAAGTCATAGTGCACCTCCGGCCCAAGCTAGCACGATTCCAAGGAAGCTTCTCCCTCTAATTAGTCTGGTATTTGCTAAAAGAGCTTGTAGTTTCCTTATTGTAAAAACCGGAGGACAATAGCTCCTTATTGCCAACCCAGTGTGGTGGCCTCCTGGTCCCTTTCCCCCTCGCTCTCCAAAAAGAGAAGGCTGCACCTTGTTTGGTTACTAATTAAGAAAAGGCAAAACCTAGGATTATTTCTATTGTCCCCCCCCCCACAATACTGCATTCAAAGGCAATTTCTTTAGCAAGGCAGCCTCCTAATCACTCAGGGAAGAGGTGGGTTTCAAAATGTAGAAGAAAAGGCCGTTGGAAGGCAGGCCTCAGCGCCGGCTACTCTGGGTTGGCGCCCTGTTACCAGAGTCCGGAGCAGGGTCCGGAAGCCGGGGGGGCCGCTCCTGCACCGCACGGATGTTGGCTAACTCCCACTTGGCAGGTAAACCCAGGGGTCTTATAAGGCAACCACTAGCAGGGCTTGGAAACTTCAAAAAAGGTATTTAAACTTTGGTCTGAGCTAAGGCTAAAAACTGGACTAGTAATATTTTCAAGCAACTATGGGGCCACTTTTCTGGGCTTTGGTTTCCACATTTTAAAAGTCAGGTCAATAACTCAACCCTACAGCTGTCACAGAAGTGATGAGACAATGCATGGGGAGCGTGTTTCTTGGTGTGCCACCCCACTCCCATCAAATGTCCTGTCCCAGAGGTCTCTCTATTGGGTGCTGTAGGAAAAGGTCCAGGGCCGGGAGAAGAATGACTTGGGTTGGTAAAGAGGAAATAGCAAATCACAGTCTACTGTTTTGGGGGGATTCAGAGGAGGATAAAGTGCGTGCGAAAGCTTGATGTAAATATAAGAGGTACTGTTGTAACTCCTCTCTCAGAGCCTCTTGCTCTGCAGCCCCTGAGGTGCCAGCGCCGGGCGCCCACAGGGGTCCACTCGGGGCACCGGGTCGAGTTCCGGGAGCAGGAGGCAGTGGGTGCGCCGGGATGGGAGGAGGCTGGGCCGTGGGGCTCCGGGGCGGGGCTCCCCACCGTACCCCAGGCAGGGCTTGGGCCGCTCAGCTCGGAGGCCGAGGGAGAAGTTGTGTCCGCTGGGCGGTGGGCAGGTGCGGAGGTCACGGTCCCAGAGCCTGGGAGGAGCCCTGGCAGTGGGGGTCGCGGGCAAGCGGGTGGGAAGGAGCGAGCGAGCGGGGGCCCCCACCCCCGCGCAGCAGCCGGGGCGGAAAGGAGGCGCGGGGGCGGGGCGGGGCGGGGCGGGGGCGCGGGCCGGGATCCGCTCGCTCAGCGCCCGCCCTGCACTCCCAGCCGAGCCGCGGCCGCCGCCCGTCCGCTGCCGATTTGGCCGAAACTTCTTGGGGTCCCGCGCTCCAGAGTAGAGGGTGCAGTCCAGCGAGGACCACGGCGGGGCAGAGCCGGTGCCCGGGACGCAAGGCCTCCCTTCATTGCGGCGCGCACGGTCTCCGCACCCGACCGAGCGCAGGGTTTCGGGCGCCGCGCCGATCTCCCGGCAGGAGCGAGCGGGGCTCCCTGGGCTCCCGGTGCCGCAGCCGCAGCCGCCCGGCCCGGGCAGCGCGCCTCCCGCGAGGGCTGCCCCAGGGTCCCGGCTCCGGCAGACGCTTTGGCGGGATCTCCGGAGTGCGGTGCGCAGTCCGGTGCGGCGGCCCGAGCAGCCCGCGCGCTGAGAGGAGCGGCCCCCACTCGCCTCGGCGCCCGGGGGACCCGGCGCAGCCGTCGCAGGAGGAGCCAGAGCCCGCGAGCCTGAGGAGCGGCGGGACGTGCAGGTAGGTGCCCGCTGCCCGCTGAGGGAAAGGGGAGCCCCCCTCCCCGGTCCCCGGCCCCCGGCCCCCAGACCTGCCGCCTGGAGACGCCCCTCTTCGGCTCCCGCCTCCGAAACTTCCTAGAGCTCTCCGGTTCCCGCCCCCTCCGCGGCCACGGGCGCTCAGCCCCCGGGAGCGGGGCCCTGCCCTCCGACGAGACCCGTGCAGCTGGCTGGTAGTGCGCAGTGCAGCGTCGGCTGAGCCCCGTCAGGTGGGGGTAGGGAACGTGGAAAGGGAAGGGGAACCCTCCCCCAGGCCTCGAAGAAAGCTGGGGCCGCTTGCCCCCTCCAGCCTGTGTGCTGGCCGGGTGCCGGGCGCCGGCGGCTGGAGTAGAGTTTTCTCGCTCTTCCCGGCAACTCGGGTGCTAGTGGCTCTCTGTCCCCGAGGGTTGGATGTCCAAGGAGGTGGCGGGGAGGTGCGGCCTGTCGGCATGCACAGGGGCATCCCGGGGGCCCTGCCTGCGCCTGTCCGAGAAGTGTGAGAGCCCCTCTGACCTCCTCGCTCACTTCGCCTGGCGTGGGCCGGCCCAGCTGGAACGCTCTGCCGAAGTCTGCGCCCGCATCAGCCAGACTGGGTGAGGGCTACATCTGGATTATTTTAGACCCGGAGGCAGTGTTAGTTGGGTGCCTCAATTCCTGCCTGAACTCGGAGCAGGTCAAGCCCTGAGTGGTGGTCTGAGATTTCAGTTTTCTTTTATTGTCTTTCTGCTCCTTATGCTCATCTATCCCTGCCCTGGGAAAAGGGGGAAGTGACCTCTGTCTCCATCTTCTCGCTGGTCCTCATGCGTATGTGGCCATGTACTTCAGTCAGAGCCAGATTTCCTGGATATTTTCATTCTCAAATCACTGTGAGATGTCGTTCAGTTTTCTTGAGGCTTGATTGGTGCTGTTTACCGAGAGAAAACTGAGGTTGCTCATTCCCGCGGCAGGAGGGGTTCCCAGTTCTGAATGGGTTGATTTGCTTTCCATCCCCACCCACCCTGCCTTCTTCACTCTTTGCCACGGGGTCACACTGGCACCAGCTTTCACTTACTATCACCCTGGCCAGAGTTACAGCCGGGTACCCGGAGGAGAAAGGGTCAGGATCCGGTTACCAGTCCCCGGAACTGCTCTAGTCACTGAGAATGTGCCCACCTGACCCAGCTGTGATGGGACATCTGTGTTGTGCCATCAGTGTGGGTGCAGAGACCTCTGGGTCAGTAGGGCAGGGCCACACTCCTGGCCACACATCAGCATTTGTGAATGCACAGGGTTAGGAGCTTAGGGGGACCTCTTCTGTGGCTAGCCCTATGGTACCATGGGGCCCTGGGAGCAGTGGGCACACCCTCAGAGAGCCTGACGACCCTTTCCTGGTGCCAGCTGCTCCTGTTGGTCTCTGGTTCACTGGTGGGGCCGGACTGCCAGTCTCAGGCATGGGCCAGTGGGTGCCGGCCCTGGTGTGTGCCCACGCACCTGTCCAGGCACACACACACACGCAGGTCCTGGCAAACACACCAACTTCGGGAGGTGAAATGCCGAGTAGTGGTTTTCCTCCATTTTAAAACAGTGTTGTCTCTGTGACACAACAGGTCTGTGGTTATAAATAGCAGGACTTGTTTGCGAGGCTCCTGTGAAGGAAAGGCAGTGCTGAGATCTCTGCACAGTTGTGAGAGGAGCGATGCAGCTGGGCTCTCACAGTGCAGGCAGGCCCAGGAGCCCAGGCGAGAAGGCAGGCTTAAAGCTAGGTCTCCCCCACTGCAGGGCGCAGCTGGAGCCAGCACCAGGGCAAGACGGAGTGGAGCAGAGGGACCTAAAGAGACAACATGTGGATAAATAGCTAAGGGCAGCCAAGAGCAACAGCCCCCTTCTTTTCCTAAAGAAAATCAGACAGAGGGTGTGTGGGGTCTGCCTGCCAGGGGAGCAGGAGCCAGCCTTAGAGGAGCTTGCCGGCCCTTTTGGTCCGTGGATTTCCTACTTTCCCAGGCCCTGATTTCTTCTGTACTTGAGTATGAGTATGTGAGGGAGGGTGTGTGTGCGCGGGGGGAGTGTTTACTCAGGGTGTCTAAAACCAGTCCTCTCTTTAGTACATTTGGTGATTGTACTAGCTCCAAGGGTGTCTTATTGGCTTGAAGTAACCCTTTTCTAAAAAATTTTCTATCCCAAAAGTTTAAGGTAAAGGGATATTGCCAAATTGCTGGGAGCCATATGCTGTGAAGTGAAAAAACCTGAGATTGTCTTCACCTGTGCATTTCACCTTTCTCTTACTATAGTGACAGCTGAAAAATTTTTTCGTTTGCACTTCTTCAGGAGGACAGAAGACCAGGCTAGCCTGCTCTGATTGTACCTCCTGGGACAGTCCTGCTGGTTTCTGGATTGTCATGGCCGGGCACCTCTGGCAGGAGAGGAGATTTTTATGTGAAGTTATACTTCTTGCCTTCTCTGAAATAAAATCCAATGTGTCCACAAAAGCTTTTCTGTCAGCCATTCTGATTTTGTTCTCCCTAGCGCCCTTTCAAACTGCCTGTCATTTATTTCCTAATCTTCTTAACAAGTCTTCAGACTCCACCTTTGTTCCAGCCCCACACCTGAATGCACAATCGGTGGTGGTGGTGGTGGTGGTGGTGGTGGTGGTGGTGATGTTTGTAACTCCTTCAGGCCTCTCAAGGTTCATAAGAACAATAGCTATAAAACTCCCCTAGTGAGGAGAGAATATGGAGGCTCTTTGCTCTCACCTCAGGGCATCCTTGGCTGGTTTTCTGTGGAGTATCTTCAAATTGTATCCAGGAGTCCAGAGAAAATCCAGCAGAGGGGTTGGGAACAAATACTATGATAAAGATGAAAAGACCTGACAGTTTTTAATCTGAGCAACTGAGCCACTTGCTAAAGTAAAAATAACTTATGCCCATCTCTGAGGAGCACCCCGTTCACTGCCCTCCCACCCGTTGGTGGGACCTGGGAAGCAGACCTGCTGTTTGGGGGTACAGTTCTGGCCTTACTTTCCCTTCAGTGAAAAGAGCAGGTGATTGCCCGGCTTCTACCAGGGCCTCTCCACCCAGCAGTTCTGTTTAGCTGCTAAATTTAAACCTCTGCCCCCTCTAGCCCAGTTGACCCATTGGCTGGCCATCTGGCCACAGGCTGGCTCCTTGGGCTGCAATTCCTGATGTCTTGGCCCCTGTGGTTGCAATTGGGCCTTTTCTTTCGTGCTGCAGGAATCCTCTTCCAGACTTTCTAAAGTTGGTCTCTCTCCTTCCTGCTTCTCCACCCATGTGGCTTCTTCCCAGCTCTTCCTCCTCCTGGGTGATTTGGCACCTGGCTGGTACTAGGGGGAAGACTGTCCCCGGAACCCTCCAAACACCATGCACGAGGGTTCAGGAAACCTAGGCCCAGGCTGCCTGGTGAACTGTCATCATTGCGCAGCCCAGCCTGGGCCCTGGGGTCCCCTCTGAGCAAGTCCGGTGCTGGCAGCAGTGCGTTTTCTGAGAATTCCTTTTTGCGCTCCTAAACCCCCAAGGAACCTAGCCCTTCCTTATGTCCTCTTCTTTGCATCACCATCTTCTCTTGAGGTTTTGCTGGGTAGGCTTATAGGGGTAGGGGAGTGGGCCATGGGGGGAGAGTGCAGATGGTGGGGGGCATATTATAGCTTGTCCGTGGGGTCTCAGTTATCTCTCCTGTGAAGTGAGGGTGTTGCGTGAGACTGTGCTAGAGGCCCCTTCCATTTCTCACATTCTCTTGTTTTAAATAGCTTTAGCTGGCTCAGTTTTGGAAATCCTTCTGCTGTGAACCAGGCCTGGGGGTGGGGAAGCAGCCAGTCAAAGGAGGTGGTTCCCACCAGAGAGGTGGAGGGGCGGAGGGGTGGCTCCAGCCGAGCTGCTTTCACGAGCTGCTTTCATGGAGTTACTGTTTCAGAAATCGTGGTCTTGCAGGCAGGTTTGTGGTGGGGCTGCAGGCTCAGGTTGTGCTCCTGGCTTTGGGCTCTGGCCCGGCAGGGGCCTCTGTGGTTAGCCAGACTCCCGAGGATTACGGGGAGGCTCTGTCTCCAGCTTCGGGTGACTTCAGAGCTGCTGCCTGAGTGCTGGGGGGAGGCACCCAGAGCTGTTCTTAAACGAGTTTCCAGTCTTCTCTTCTCTACAGCTTCCTTGAGTCCAGAAATGCTCACCCTTCAAAGGTTAGTCTTGTCTGACTAATTGATAAAGGGTCAAGAGTGGATTTCCTGAGGTCTGGAAAATTATAGCTGGGCTTAAGTTGGAAAAGGCAGTGGATTAAAAGTTCCTGGTTTACAAACTAGAGCCCCCAAAGGTCACTTTGGAATTATCTGAAATGTTCAGTCAATAGATTTGCTCTGAGTCCTGCTGGAGGAGCAAAAAATATGGTAACAAAACTATACTAACAGTAGCCCAAGGTAATACTGTTTGCTGCTGAGCCTTCCTCTGCCCTTAGAGGGGAGCTGGACTTTGCAGGGATGAGCGCAGAGCAGCCCCCAGCAGAGCAGCCCTGGGGACACAGCTCTGCCACTGCCAGGTGCCCGCACTTGCGGCATCTCCCCTGCCTGAACCAGGACTCATGCACCCCCACCCATTTCTCTTCCTGGTGGGCTGCTGGGGGGTGGTGGGATGTTCCCATTGCTGTAGGGGCGTGGAGGGCAGTGAGTCCCTTCCTAAACTCATCTCTAAGATTATATATCTTACCATATTCATCAAAGGGTTTCTCCTGGGAAAATTTGAGCAGTGAATTACTAAATACTTCGTACTAATCTTGTTTGGGGTAATCAAGCCTTTAAAGAGACTTTGTGTATAAGCATTGACCTAGAAAATGCCACATCACATTCAAAGCAGGAGCTGGTGAATGGGAGGAGGTTTCTAGATTGTACTATCAGGACAGTCCTTGAGACCAGAGGCCATAGAAAGCCAAAAAAGTAGAGACCAGGGCTTTAGAGTCAGGTGCTGGTGTGAATTGCAGCACGCAGCAGCCAGCTACAGACCTGAGCCA